GGGGAAAACAACTAAGTTACCATTTTGGCAATTGGGGTTGGAGTGTAGGGATGGAGTGGAACCCCCAGTGGCCTCAGTTGGGCACATGGCAATGGGGGAGGGGCTCTGGCTGGGAGCCCAAGGTCAGGGGCTTGGGGGGGAAGGGGGCCGGGGGGACTGATTCTGTGGGGCAATGTGGGGGTGGGCAGAAGGATTGGGGATTCTAGTGGTGCTAGGAGGGGGGGTTGGGGCAAGGCCTAGCTGGGGTGAAGTGGGGGCAAATTGGTTTAGGGTCCACTCAGGGGCCTGTGCAGGGGCAGGAGGGATGCAGGGGAGGAGGCAAGATGAGGGGATTTTGGATGAGCAGGGTGTGTGGGGGTGCAGATGTCCCAGGAGGAGGGAATGAGAGGGGTCAGGGGTCTTTATCTAGGTGAGTGGGGGAGGGTGAGAGTGCCTGCGGGGTAGGAGCAGGAGGTGAAGTGGTTTCAGAGTAGGAAACTGAGACACATAAGCCAAGGGGGGAATGGCTAAGGCTGCCCCCCTGTAACCTACTGTCCCCAGTCCTGGGGGTGGGTGTCACCCATCCCCCTCATGGTGAGGTTGGCTGCTCCCCTGGGGAGCACAGCTCAGGCATGCTCTCTCTGTTGCACATATAGAGGGCACTTCTCAGAGCAGCTTCTGCTTCCCCTCCACCCCCTGGCAGCTCGACATTTCTGGCTTCTCACTCCACGGTGGGAGATAGCACAAAACGCTCCATACCCCCTCCAAAGTCCAATCAGTGATGTAGGCAAAGACACCCTACATCTCTCACAGTGCACCCTTGTACCTTTCCCCCTCGATCCAAGCCCCTGCTTAGTGCCTTGCCCCTGCTGTGACATCGCAATACAGAGCTGGGGCAAAAGGGGACCTGCAGACATCCTGGGCTGTCTCCCCTCCAGCACGGTACAGGTGGTTCAGAGTGAAGGGAAAGGGGAGGAACCTGCCCCCTCTTCCCACATGTTTAGTAGTTTGTGATGTAAAAATCCTGCTGTGACAGTACACATGGAGAAACAGATCTTTCTAGATTACTGAGATTCAGTGCCATGACCTGTCCATGACTTTTATTAAAGTAACTATGACCAAAATCTTAGCTTAACAATGATAGGTCAACTTGCCATTCTCTTCCCCAACACGTTAGTCCCCTGCAGTAAACATGACCCTACCCCCTCCCTAGCGTGCTAATGATACTAAAATGACCTAAAAAAAACCCCTACTTATAAATCACTATTGGTTGGCACCCCATTGTCACCTGCATGTCTATGCAGCTGCTGGCCAAACCCTCCCCCCAAAATATAAACCCCACCTCTACCCGGAACCCAACCTTACTCTATAACCTGGTCCCCCCAACCCTAAACCCTTTAACCAATCCTCACCCCCACCCTAAACTCTAACTCTGAACCCAGCCTCTCTAAGCCTGACACCGCTTTAAGCCAGAGCCAGTTCCCTGCTCCCACCCTGTGCAACAACAGTGCAAACGCCCCAGGAATCCTGCTTCTTACCACCACTGGTTTTGAAATGAACCTTTTCTTCCTTTGCATTCCAAAAACCTTAATTGGCGTTGGATGGGTTATTTAGTGACAGGGGTTTACACAATGTAACTGTTTGCTATTACACTGTAACAGGATACAGATAAGTGAAAACAGTGCAAACAACATTGCACTAGTTTTCAGGATGCTTAAACACCCAATACACTTCTACATTTAACAATCGCTTTGATCTATACTAATACACACATCAATTGGCCTGAATACACTCGGACGTAAGCTGCTCTGCCAACGTCACGCCTTGTACAAACATTACTGCAATACCGTGTAGGGCAGCGTGACCCCCGGGGGCCTGTGAGCTGGTTTCAGGTGGTCTGTAGGGCTCCGCAGCTGAATCCCGAAGCCCCCATGTCTCCCGAAGGACAGAAGTCTAAAGCCCCAATGCTCCCCGCTCCACAAGGCAGAAGCCCTGAGCCTCCACGACCCAGCAGCTGTAGCCCAGAGCTGCCCCCCACCCAGCAGCTGTAGCCCAGAGACCCAAGCTGCCCTCCTACCCCAGCTGGGCCTTGGAGTTTTTATAGCAGGTTGGGGGGGAGGGGTCAGGAATAAAAAGGTTGAGACTCCTGGTGTAGGGTGTGAGCATGGGTGTTAATCTGTCACAAGAGCCTCTTTCACAACTACCTTGGGAAACAAATACATGGACCTTTTGCCCACTTCTTCGTTAGTTACTGTGGAATTCTCTCCCCGGATCATCAGAGACAATATTGACCTAAAACAACCGAGCAGCAGTGTGATTGTGTGCAGTCACTTCAGTTAGTTGCACAATTTGGGGTGTGGTCTAGTTCACCATTTCAGACTGGAGATTTAAAAGCAGTCGGTAGCATGTCCAATAGCTTGGAGTAGTCTCTCCTGTTGACCAAACTGCACTTGAAGTTTCTCCATGTCATCATGGAGGGAGCAGAGAAAAAGCAAAAATAAAATAAGAAATGACTAGTTCAGTAAATAGTCCTTTTCTCAAAGTCCCCAGTAAATCTGAGCTACTGTCTGGCAAATAAAATGAATATCTGATTATGTGACCAAATGTCGCTCAAGAGGAAAAACCCACATCACACAAGATACATCCAGTTTCATAGAACTAGAAATTCCAGAGCGGGTTAAATATGACGACGGTAGCCTGATTTAGGGTGTGCTAATAACAATTTAATTATTTTATTAATTAAAATATTAATCGTTTTGGTTTTAGGCTTGCCAGTTTGTTTGATTAGAAGATAAGTTTTTGTTTCGAATCAGGCTTCCCCGAATTTACAAAGGACCAGGGAGGTATGACAGGAAGCTCACACTGAGACAGATATAGCCTTAAAGACTTTTTATTAAAATGAATAATAGTAAGTAAATGGTGAAATACCCAGAGTTACACTGCATTACTGCTATTAAAAGAGACATATGATAATATAGTATTACATGCAACAAAGCTTTGGTTAATATACTTACACCCTCCCTCGATAACCTGGGGGTAAGAGACACAGGACCAGCCTTGCAGTTCAGGTTTCTCAATTCTTGATGCAGAGCTTAGAAAAACTAATGCTAAGAGCTAACTTAGGGTTTACTTGACGAACTTAAACTTAAAACCTAACAAACAAAACTAAGAATAAAAGCTTAGGGAAACCAAGCTTAGCCTAGTGCCCTTGACACTTAAAGTTTAAGACGAACAAGTACAGCCTACTACTAGCAGTAGCCATCGTAGATAGAATAGAGTGAGTGAGTGTGAGGAAGATAGAGTAGTGAAAGTGATAGAGCGGAGTGGAGTGAAGTGAAGTCCTCTAGCGAGGTGGGTCACCTCTTTTATAGGGCAGGAGTGTCGGAAATCCTTCCTCCATTGCCCAAATTTTATTCCTTACCCACAAATGTTAGGGTACCCTTACCCCATAGGCTAGTAGGTTTGTGCGAATTGATGACACATATAAGTTTCCTTGTGGTGTACCTTTTAAGTCTGTGGGTACCACATTAAAAATCCCCCTATGCCATTCTTCATTATCTATTGGTCTAGATAGAAGGTTATAGACATATGCGTGAATACTTATTTATTTAGGTAACAAGATATAGGTTAACTTTACTTTTCTGGGTAAAGGGTCTTAATATAGATGTGTTAACTTTCCTTAGCTTAACATACAGGATATGGCCTGTAGGTCTCTTGCGTTACAGTCAAGCTTACTTTAATATAAATCTATAAACCTATTACAATAAACCAAATACTTATACGAACAGATATATCTATGCAAGCAAGCAGGTTAGTCTTATAGGCTACGCGACTCAGAATCAGGACAAGAGATTCTCCCATTGCATTCTCCTCTGAGCCATTCAAATCTCCTTCACTCATTAGTTTTGAGTCATATTATTTACAAAAGTTCTAGTATTGTCGTAATGAAAGAAAAAAAAAACAACAAACCAACCAGACAACCTCCCCATCTGCAAACAATCCCATCTCAGTAGGAAAAGTCCTGCAATAGGCTTTGCCAACAGTTGGAAA